ACCAGGATGGTCTCGATCTCTTGACCTCGTGATCCACCCGCCTCGGCCTCCCAAAGTGCTGGGATTACAGGCGTGAGCCACCGCGCCCGGCCGCCAATTTATTTTCTTAGAGCAAAACAATCCCGCATGGATATAACATTTATTTATTTATTTATTTTGGGACCAAGTCTCGCTCTGTCACCCAGGCTGGAGTGCAGTGGCGCAATCTTGGCTCACTGCAACCTCCACCTACTGGGTTCAAGGAAGCCTCCCGAGTAGCTGGGACTACTGGCATTAGCCACCACGCCCAGCTAATTTTTATATTTTGTAGTAGAGATGGTGAGGCATGCCTTGGCCTTCCAAAATGCTGGGATTACAGGCATTAGCCACCACGCCCAGCCCCACATGGATATAAATTAAATATTAAAACTCCCCAAAAATTACTAGGAAGAAAATGAGAAAATTAGCTATTTCTAAGTATGTCTTGAAAATCAAATTGCACATAGTTTCGAAAGGATCTGTACACTTGACTACCCACAATTTAAACATCAAAATGAAAATAAACACAACAAAAGTGAACTACTACTATAGTAGAAACATATTTGCAACAGAAATGAAAACGTGCTATACCCTTAATTAACAAAGATACCAGTCGGGTGCAATGGCTCACACCTATAATCCCAGCACTTTGGAAGGCCAAGGTGGGCAAATCATGAGGTCAGGTGTTTGAGACCAGCCTGGCCAACATGGTGAAACCCTGTCTCTACTAAAAATACAAAAAGTTAGCCAGGTGTTGTGCCGGACACCTGTAATCCCAGCTACCTGGGAGGCTGAGGAAGAAGAATTGCTTGTTTTTAGTAGAGACGGGTTTTACCATGTTGCCCAGGCTGGTCTCAAACTGCAGGGCTCTAGTAATCCACCCACTTTGGCCTCCCAAAGCGCTGAGATTACAGGCGTGAGCCACCGCACCCGGCCACATTTTCTTTGTGAGCCACGTCATTCTTACAAAAATAAGAAGCCATTTGAACCCCAAGATGTTCAGATAAGAACATGTCCAGGAAACAGCTTAAAAGGAGTTTAAGCAAAACTCTCAAGTCTTTCTTTCATAATTTATAGCTTAGGAAAGAAAATCACTTGTTAATATTTCTTGGCCAGTCTTGGAGGCTCACGCCTATAATCTCAGCACTCTGGGAGGCTGAGGCAGGTGCAATGCTTGAGCCCAGGAGTTCAAGACCAGCTTGGGCAACATAGGGGGACCCCGTCTCTACAAAAAATACTAAGATTAGCCAGGCATGGTGGCACACGCTTGTAGTCCCAGCTTCTCGGGAGGCTGAGGTGAGACGATTGCTTGAGCCCAGGAGGTCGAGGCTGCAGTGAGTTGTGATCATGCCCCTGCACTCCACCTGGGTGACAGAGCAAGAACTTGTCTCATATACATATTTCTACAGCCTTCCCTAGTGACAAATTATCGTACTCCACAAGGCACCCTGTGCCCCCCAGAGAGGAGTGACCTCACCAAGTGACTGACACACCAAGCAAGAGACAAACCAAGTCCCTCAAGGTCCCAGGACAACTGACCCCAGGACCCCTGGGGAGACAAACGGCAGAGACCCTCCAAGCTGCCCCACTCTCCCCTACAAGGAGAAAGGCTGCTGGAGTGCCTCATGCAAACTCATGCTCAACTTTCAAAAAAACAACCCGAAAGCCAGGCACAGTGGCTCACACCTGTAATCCCAGCACTTTGGGAAGCAGAAGAGGGCCGATCACTTGAGGTTGGCAGTTCAAGACCAGCCTGGGCAACATGGTGAAACCCCATCTCTACAAATACAAGAAAAATTGGGCCAGACACAGTGGCTCACGCCTGTAATCCCGGCACTTTGGGAGGCTGAGGTGGGTGGATCACTTGAGGTTGGCAGTTCCAAGACCAGCCTGGCCAACATGGTGAAATCCCATCTCTATAAAAAATACAAAAAATTAGGCTGGGCGTGGTGGCGCACGCCTATAATCCCAGCACTTTGGGGGCTAAGGCAGGTGGATCACCTGAGGCCAGTTTGAGGCCAGCCTGACCAACATGGAGAAATCCTGTCTCTACTAAGAATGCAAATTAGCCAGGTGTGGTGGCGATGCCTGTAATCCCAGCCACTCAGGAGGCTGAGGCAGAAGAATCACTTGAACCCGGGAGGTGGAGGTTGCAGTGAGCCGAGATTGCGCCATTGCACTCCAGCCTGGGCAACAAGAGCAAAACTGTCTCAAAAAATTAAACAAACAAATAAAAAAAAATAAATAAATACAAAAAATTAGCCAGGCATGGTGGCACATGCCTCTAATCCCAGCTACTCCGAGGCACAGGCAGGAGAATCTCTTGAACCCAGGAGGTGGAGGTTGCAGTGAGCTGAGATCATGCCATTGCACTCTAGCCTGGGCAACAAGAATGAAACTCCATCTCAAAAAAAACCAAAAACCAAAAAACAAAATCAGGATCTTTCTCCTGTTTCTTCCAGGGTGGGTGAAGGTCGAGTTGTGACTGGGAGAGAGGATGGGGAGCACTACTCAGGCCTGCCAGGGTCTCCTGCCTTCCAGGGCAGGGGCAGCCCTGGAAACTCACATGCGCCTTAGAGCAGGAGGCAAGAGAACTCACCAGACAGCAGAAACACTCCGCGCTGGAGAGCCACAAGGCTCTCAGTCAACATGTTTTTCCATGTCAAACCCCTGGTTGCCAGGTAATTCTGTGACGCGAAGAAAAAAGGGAGTAAGAAACATTCGTTTAGGGGAAGAAACACTGACATGACGAGAGAGAAAACATTTCCGAAAAGGCCCCGAAGGTGTGGAAAGCCATAGCCCAGCCCCTCACGAGTGGCATTTTCAGACGGCCACACATTCACACCCCACAGCACGAGGAGTGTTGTCCAAGAGCCTCCTCCAAGTCCCAGAAGGAAGGCTAGCTTTGAACCTCGAGTCTAGGAGTTCCCAGATTCTCTCAAAAGTTCTGCCGAGACCTTCACAGCCCAGGGTGTGACTGAGACACTAAAGCCTGGCCACAGGGCCCACAGCCCCACGACAGGACCAGTCTGTTTGACAAGAAAAGCTGAGTACTTGGCATCTGATCTGTGTGCCCTTCAAAAACACGGAGCTGTGTAGCTCCTTTTGTGGGCATCAAAGCAGAGTGTAGGGCTGGGTGGGCAGGCCTGCCAGCTGTGTCTGTGGCCAGCGTCAGGCCCCACCATTGTGTGTGCTGTCAGTCGGCAAGGTGCTTGGCAAGAGGGCAGACGCGCACGTCCAACATATAAATCCTAGAAGCCGAGATTGCTTCCTAGATGCGGGGAGGCAAATGGCCAGACAAGGAAGGGACCAAAGAAAAGGCCCTGGTTCTGCCAAAGGGCACTTTCACAAAAGCCCCTCCGAGAGCTGTGGGAAGCAGCTCCTACGGATTCATGGCAGGAGGCACAAAAAGGAAAGACCCAGTTTTGGAATACGGGAAATACAGGTAAACACCATGGAATGCAGAGAACTAGCCAGCTGCACTAGTGAGAAAAGGCTGCTCCTGGCTCCCCAGCCGGTGGCAAGTCGGTACCTTCAAGATGTCTGACTCGTAGCTGTTGTTGTTCAGCACCCCGTCCAGACACTTGTCACCCAGGTTGAGCTCTGCCGAGATGAAGGGGCAAGGTTATCTGTTTATAAAGACGTCGCAGGAAAGCACTGTCTGCCCGACACTGAGGATAAACACATTTCTTTTCATTACAGATTCTAGAAGGAATAAGAAGTTCAATGATAAAACTCAATTTTAAACAGAGGACAAGTAGAAATGCTTTCCATTCCACTCCCTCCTTAAAAAGACCAGCTCTCCAAGTCTCCCCAGCACCTGGTCTGGTACCCTGACATCAAAACCCTGCAGCAGGGATTCCATCCAGGAGAATTTCCCCTAATCCTTCTGTTATTGCTTGATTTTGAGCTACCGTGAATTTGATACACCTCTGCAGTTCAGCAGGAAAGGGTCAACATTTGGTGACCAACAGTGGCCTCCCCACTCTACACATCAGGCTATGGACACCACCATTGCCTGCCCTCAAGTGGTTCACCAAGAGAACATGCAAAGGTCAAGGCAACTCGGGCCTGAAGAGCCAGTATTACCACAGAACGGGGCCAGGCAGCCGAAGCAGCCGGTCCGGGTGCAGCCCCAGTACAGGTGACAGAAAGGCTGCAGGCAGACCGCACCTGTGGAGAGAGGACACCAGTCAGGCGCGCCCAGCTCTGCAGCCCATCTCCAACACAATTCGCCAATGCCAGGCTCAGGAGCTCAATTCCCTTCGGAATCATTGTTCAGGAGGAGTCTCCATGGAACTCAGGGACGGGGGCCACATCCCAGCTAACATCACCCAGGTTGTGACTGAACTATGAAGACAAAGAGTTATGACCCTGAAAAAAGGCCAGGCTCGTATTTTCTTTTTTATTTTTTAGAGATGGAGTCTCACTCTGTTGCCCAGGCTGGACCACAGGGGCACAATCACAGCTCACTGCAGCCTTGACCTTCTGAGCTCAAGTGATCCACCCACCTCAGCCTCTCGAGTAGCCAGGACTACAGGTACACACCACCATGCCCAGCTAATGTTTTTTATGTTTGTAGAGATAGGGTCTCACTATGTTGCTCAGGATGATCTCAAACTCCTGGCCTCAAGTGATCCTCCCACCTCAGCCTCTCAAAGTGCTGGGATTATGGGCATGAGACACCGCACCCAGCCCCAGACTCATATTGTTTCTTACAATGAAAACACATGCTCATCCCAGGAAAGTAGTGAGAAGCACAAAAGAAAACCTCTCACCTGCTCCACCACCCTACCGTGGTTTTGATGGGTTTCCTTCTAGCTCTGAACATGCAATATGCTTGCCACCAACTGCATATGTATATCTTTACATGACTTTTTTTTTTTTTTTTTTTGAGACAAAGTCTTGCTCTGTCCAAGTGCAGTGGCACGATCTTGGCTCACTGCAACCTCTACCTCCCAGGTTCAAGTGATTCTCCTGCCTCAGCCTCCCAAGAAGCTTGGATTATAGGCACCCACCACCACGACTGGCTAAATTTTGCATTTTTAGTAGGGATGGGGTCTCACCATGTTGGCTGGGCTAGTCTCAAACTCTTGACCTCAGGAGATCTGCCCGCCTTGGCCTCTCAAAGTGCTAGAATGACAGGCGTGAGCCACTCTGCCCAGGCTAAATGGCTGTTTTCTACTGGAGTATTTTTCTATGTTGCCAGCTCGGTTTATAGACTTTTTTTTTTTTTTTTTTGAGACAGAGTCTCGCTCTGAGGCCCCGGCTGGAGTACAGTTGTGCGATTTCGGCTGACTGCAACCTCTGCCTCCCAGATTCAAGCAATTCTCCTGCCTCAGCCTTCCCAGTAGCTGGCACTACAGGCGCGTGCCATCACGCCCGGCTAATGCTTTGTATCTTTAGTAGAGAAGGGGTTTCACTGTGTTAGCCAGGATGGTCTCCATCTCCTGACCTCATGATCCACCCGCCTTGGCCTCCCAAAGGACATTATTTTTAATTGTTCGATATTCTACAGAATGGAAATTCCTAAAATACAATATTAAGTAAACTCTAGCTAAAATTCTCACAGGGTTGAGTACTTAAGTCTTTTAACGTCTACACTCACTTCACAAGTCTCTGTATATGAAGCGCTCTCTATGAAGTTAGAGTTAAGTGTGAGGGCTACCGAGCAAAAGCCGGCCTGATGCCATCTGCTGACCACCTGTGTGTCAGGCACGGGGCGAGGTGTCCTCTGAGGCTTCCCGCCTCGCCTCCCATGTGCAGCATCAGCAGTGGGCAGTGACTGCGTGGGTCAGTGGCTATGCCCCACGGCAGCACGTCCCAATGCGATGCAGCATCCACACCCCGAGACTGCGGGCCAGGCCCCACCCCTGCACGTCCATCAAGACATAGCTCTCAGAAGTAACCCATTTGGTTTACTTTGGTTTGCCTGGAACACTTTTAAGCCATTCCAGAGAGAACCAGTGCTGTGGCCCTGTGTGCTGCTCAACAGGGCGAGGGCTGTCTTCACTTAATACTGTCACATAGAGGGAGCTCTGACAAATTACGAAGTCATAGAAAAAAAGGCAAAGGACATAAACAGACATTTCTGCAGGAATAAATTAAAACAGCCATTAAATGAAGGAAAGCTGTTTTTAACATAAGAGCATACACACACACACACACACACACACACACACACACTTTTTAAATTTTTTTTGGAAATAGGGTCTCCATCTGTCACCCAGGCTGGAGTGCAATGGCAGGATCTTGGCTCACTGCAACCTCCTTCTCCCAGACCCAAGCCATACTCTGGCGACAGTCTCCTGAGTAGTTGGGATTACAGGTGCACACCACATCTGGCCAATTTTTGTGTTTTTTTGTAGAGATGGGGTTTCACCAGGTTGCCCAGGCTGGTCTGAAACTCCTGGACACAGAAGATCTGCCTACCTTGGCCTCCCAAAGTAGGCGGGATTACAGGTGTAAGCCACTGTGCCTGGCCAGAATTATATATTAAAGCATCAACATTCATCTAGGAGGTTTTAAAGTGACACCGGGGCATGGACACAGACCCAGGCCGAGCCCCCGCTGGATGCAGATGCAGCCTGTGAAGGCGCAGTGTTATCAGCAGGTGGGAAAAGATGGATTATTCAATATGGTGACGTGGGATGACTGATCATACAGATGGAAAAGGAGAAACTGCATCCTTACTTCACAGGTTACCTTACAGCCAACACCACTTTAAAACCTGAGCCCCAAGGGCCAGATGGGAGTGTCTACGCGCGGTGGTGCGGGCACTCACACTGCTGAGGGGCGACACTCGGGTCCTGCTCGCGCTCTGCTCTCCGGTCAGGCATGGGCTGGAAGCAGCAGGTGCACAAGGCGTGGCTTCCTTGCAGAGGGCACACGTAATCCTGAACTGCTGAAGCACACACACGTTCAGCCGGAGCACGTGGGACCCAGGGCAGAAAAACAGCAGGTTAGAGACATACATCTAAAGAGGCCACCAGGAAGCACACACGAGGGAAGACGCAGACCTGCTCTCCGAAACCACTAGGGGACTTTCTGCCACCCAAACTGGGGCGTTCAAACGGATTAACAATAACCAAAAATGATCTTTGGTTTCACGACTGGAGGAAGAATTCAAAGATCTATTGAAAGTTTTCTATTGTTTCCTATAAAGAGAGGACAGGCCCATGGAGCATATGACAAGCTGTGTACTCAATCTCTGCTCAGGTGAGAGAACAGCTATCTCCTTCAAATAAACAAGGACAGGCAAGGTGCACAAGACCAATCGATGTGGCAGCAGGAAGCCTGAGCCCGCCCCGCCAAGCTCCCTGTACCCTCACCATCCACACAGGAAAGACCACAGGGAGGTCACCACAGCAGCCATCAGGACGGCAATTTCACGGCCCAGGTTCACTGAGGAACCCAGGACACCAGAAAGAGGCGCTGGTCCTGCCACGCAAACAAAGGAGCTTGTCCAGTGACCCAGACAGAGCTACTGAGTGGCAGAGGCAAACCCAGGCTGGCAGATGGGCATCCATACCAAGGCCAAGCACTGCTTTGTCCACTCCCTCCACAGGTTCTACAAGAAGCCACTGAGAACGGCAGCACAAGGATGTGGCTCTGCATCAGTCCCAGGCCAGTGGCCTCCTGATGTGCTCGGCCCCACCCGTGGCCAGGAAGCCAGGACCCTTGAGGGCCATCTTCACCTTCTGTGTGTACTAGAGTGAGCAGGGCGGAAAAGTGCGGCTTCCACACCCCATGCCCAGCTCTCCTCTGCCTTCCCTGACAGCACCTGTGGCCCCTTGTTGGAAACAGGCACCTGACAGAAAAGCGTTTAGCATCAAGGCAACTCTGGAGATGCAGGGCAACTTCTGGCGACATCACCACAGCTTTTGGGGAGAAGCCCACCTCTTACTTAAGGGACAGATATACAATCATCACTGTGGGTCTGGCAAACCCACTGGGGGACATCAGCTGCTCTAGGCAGCAGGTGGGGAGAGACCAAGTATTAAGGTCAGGGTTATTAATTCCCAGCAGTGCTCAGGAGGGGCCATGAATGAACAGTTACTCACCTGATTTCCCAGCCCAAAATCAGTCATGAAAAGCAACAAATTAGCGCAGGGAGACCTCTGAAGCCAGGGCCCAAAGTGGGAGAGGGGTGCAGAGAGGAGGCAGGCAGAGCGAGGCTCACCTGTCGTGAGGCTGGCGGATGTGGAGGGTGTGTCCCCCAGGGCCTGCGGAGCCCCTGGCTCGCCCTCGGGTGCTGGGCAGCGGGGAGGCTGCGCCGCCTGCCTTCTGTACTCAGGACACTGCCGGCACACGACGTACGGCTGGCTGCAAGGAAGCACAGGCTGAGCTGCGTGCAGGCCCCCAGCCTCTCTCAGGCAGGGCCGGCGCAGCACGGGTCTGCAGCCGTCACACCTCAGCTCCACCCTTGCTCAGCTGCTTGGTGTGACGGAAAGGGCTGGGCCTCCTTCCTGCCCAGCACCCCACTGTTGGAGGATGGGACCAGGAGTTGAAGGGCAAGGATGCGATGCTCTGCGTCCCCAGCTTAGCCCCCACGCTTTGGAGTGCCATCCCTGGGGCCACTCAGTCCCCACTGATGTGTGCTCCCAGGAGACGCTCAGGCCAGCACATGCGAGCGCACCCCATGCTCCTCAGGACACCGCCTACTCTCCCGTGACAAAAGCGCGGTGCACAAGGTCCAGGGGGTCCCACACCAGGCGCCTGCACAGTCCCAAATCACTTATCTTTCTACACTTCCCTTGTACTTCCAAAAACTAGAGAAAAATGTAAACTACAAAAAAAGAACTTCCCTGTAATCCCAGCACTTTGGGGGCCCAAGGCGGGCGGATCATGAGGTCAAGAGATTGAGATCATCTGGCCAACATGGTGAAACCCCGTCTCTACTAAAAAATACAAAGATTAGCTGGGCATGGTGGTGCGCACCTGTAGTCCCAACTACTCAGGAGGCCAAGGCAGGAGAATTACTTGAATCCAGGAGGCAGAGGTTGCAGTGAGCTGAGATCGCGCCACTGCACTCAGGCCTGGCTACTGGCAACAGAGCAAGACTCTGTCTCAAAAAAAAAAAAAGAGACTATCTATTTATCCTACTAAACAGGCAAAAAGAGTCCGTCATGGTGCAGACCTTGTAGAGTGCATTATGCACACCCTTTCTGATCGGTGTCTGGAGAACAAACTTATCAAATGTCTATCAAGGTGAATTCCCAGGCACACCCTGTGACTCGACTGCTCACATCTAAACATTTGTCTTCATGACGTCACTGGACATGTGCACAAGGACGGAAGTGAGAAATGCACGGCAGCCTGTTTCCAAATTCAAATGCTGGGAAGACAGCCAAGCTGCACGTGCAGTCAAAAACTGTTTCATAAAATGAAATGTTTCATGAAAACATTCGTTTCTCATGCTTGTAATCCCAGTACTTTGGGAGGCAGAGGCGGGCGGATCACCTGAGGTCTGGAGTTCTAGACCAGCCTGGCCAACATGGTGAAGCCTTATCTCTACTACAAATACAAAATTAGTGGCTGGGCGCAGTGGCTCATACCTATAATCCCAGGACTTTGGGAGGCCATGGCGGGCAGATCACTTGAGGTCAGGAGTTTGAGACCAGCCTGGCCAACAAGGTGAAACCCCGTTTCTACTAAAAATACAAAAATTAGCTGGGTGTGGTGGTACATGCCTGTAATCCCAGCTACTCAGGAAGCTGAGGCAGGAGAATCACTTGAACCCCCGGAGATGAAGGTTGCAGTGAGCCAAGGTTGCACCACTGCACTCCAGCCTGGGTGACAGGGTAAGACTCTGTCTCAAAAAAAAAAAAAAAAAAAGAAAATTAGCCAAATGTGGTGGTGCATGCCTGTAATCCTGTAATCCCAGCTACTCAGGAGGCTGAGACAGGGAAATCACTTGATCCCAGGAAGCAGAGGTTGCAGTGAGCCAAGAGTGTGCCATTTCACTCCAATCTGGAAAACAAGAGTGAAAATCCATCTCTCTCTCTCTCTCTCTCACACACACACACACACACACACACACAAACAGGGCCAGGTACAGTGGCTCATGCCTGTAATCCCATCACTTTGGAGGGGCCGAGGCAGGCAGATCACTTGAGGCCAGGAGTTGAAGACCAGCCTGGCCAACTTGGTGAAACCCCATCTCTACTAAAAATAAAAAAAATTAGCTGGGCATAGTGGCACATGCCTGTAATCCCAGCTACTCAGGAGGCTGAGGCGAAAGAATCACCAGAACCTGGGAGGTAGAGGTTAGTGAGCTGTGATCACACCATTGCACTCCAGCCAGGGTGACAGAGTGAAACTGTCTCAAAAACAAAACAAAACAGATTTGTTAGTATACTGCATTTTATTTTGTTAACAATTATGACACACTGAACGGCTGGGCAGATGTGGCAAAATATTAATATGAAGTGGTTTTGGTTTCCTTCTTTTTGCTTAACAGTCATTTGCTAAACTTAGCAAAAGGAAACAAGGATAAAAGTTTTGGGTTTTTTGTTCATTGTCTTTTAAAATATCATGGCCTCGACCCAAAATTCAGGCCTTGCATTTCTGAGTTAGGAAACCTCAACATGTCAGCAGATAGTCTCTGAGGCCTGTATTCTCTCGACCAAGTGATAGTGCCTCTTCTGTCATAACATACTGACAAGTGATCAACATTGCAATTTATAGGGACTTTATAGTCACTAGATCAACTGCAAACAATACATGTGCTCAGCCAGGTGTGGTGGCTCATGCCTTTAATCCCAGCACTCTGGGAGGCTGAGGTGGGTGGATCATGAAGTCAGGAGTTTGAGACCAGCCTGGCCAAAATAGTGAAACCCCCATCTCTACTAAAAATGCAGAAAAAAATTAGCTGGGTCAGGAGAATCGCTTAAAACCCAGGTGGCAAAGGTTATGGTGAGCCGAGATCGTGCCACTAAACTCCAGCCCGGGCAACAAGAATGAAACCATCTCAAAAAAAAAATTAAAAAAGTAGCCAGGCACGGTGGTGCGTGCCTATAGTCCCAGCTACTCAGGAGGGCTGAGGCAGGAGAACTGCTGCAACCTGGGAGGCGGAGGGTGTGGTAAGCTGAGATCGTGCCACTGCACTCCAGCCTGTGCAACAGAGTGAGACTCCATCTCAAAAAAAAAAAAAAAAAAATACATGTGGCTTATGCGGGAAAAAATAACATACGGAATGATGTTCCTCTGTCACAGCCAGAGATGCAAGACCCACGACAAAGAATGGAAGCAAAGGGAAGGGCATCGCCCAATGGCGCAAATGCCCATCACAATCACCTGTGGTTGACGCTCTGTCAGCTGCCAGCCTAAGTATTCACCCAGTCCTTGCCACACCTCTCAGGGCTTTGCTGCTAAGCGGCAGAACTAGAACTCAGAACCCATGCTGTCCACCCAGTAGCGAGCTCTCAGCCATGCTGCTGATGCTCCTCTAGCTGCCATGCTCTGCTCCAAGCCAGGGGCGTGATTTACCTAATGTCTGAGGACTCACTGTCAACATCCGACAGCTCCAACAGGTCCTCTGAACTCCCTTCTTCATCGGAGAAAGACCGCCTGACTTTGGGCTGCAGCATGTCTTGAGTGATTTTATTCCTGGCATCCATACTTTGCGTATCTTCTTCACTGCGACTCTTGTCTAGAATTAAAAGGACACAGCACCATTCACCGGCAGTGAGACACATCAGGCAGACACAGCCCATACTGCTGGGGGCCCGCGTGCCAAGTACCACAGAAGGAGAGGTCTGGGTGGACCGCCCTCACTTGCCTGGGTGCTGGATAAGGTATGCTTCCACGAGGTTGTTGAGGATGTGGTTTTTACAGATCCGCTCCACGGGACAGCGGCAGGTGGGGCACAGGGATGAGCGCTCCATCCATCCCGAGTAGCAAGCCGCACAGAACGTGTGCATGCAGGGCTGCAAACTGAAGCCGCGAGAGGGAGCCGTGTCCACACGGAGCCACACACACGCGACCATCACCCTCAGGCCGAGGTCTGCAGCGGCCCTACCGCACGAGGGCCTGCAGGGTCCAGCCACCATTCAGTCTAAAACCCTTTAACTTTGTCTTTGTTAATGAGAAGAAATCAGAGACCACAAGGCCTGTGTTTTCAGGAGGAATGGAGGTGAGTAGCTTATGACTTCAGGAACACAAACAACAGAGACACCCAGTGTTTCTAGCCTGGAAGTCAGAAGCTTCTCACACTTAAGTTCCCATGGAAAAGCAAGGAGGCCCTTCCTCAGCTGCTCCTGCATTCTTTCCATGCTTAAATACACTTTCCTAGCTAGGGAACATTTAAAATGTGCATAGTTCCTTTCATCTGTCTACAACGTTCACTGGGTCACACACAACTCACACTCCTGAAACCTTGTGGGGTCTATAGCCTCCGGCTCTGAGTTCCAGGTTTCCTCCTTGTTGGGGCCACAAGTAAAATGAAAATGGTGGCCATGCACGGTGGCTCATGCCTGCAATCCCAGCACTTTGAGAGGCCGAGGCAGGAGAATTAACTTGAGGTCAGGAGTTCAAGATGAGCCTGGGCAACATGGCGAAACCCTGTCTCTACAAAAAATACAAAATTAGCCATGTGGCTGGGTGCAATGGCTCATGCCTGTAATCCCAGCACTCTGAGAGGCTCAGGTGGGCGGATCACCTGAGGTCAGGAGTTCAAGACCAGCCTGGCCAACATGGTGAAACCCTATCTCTACTAAAAAATACAAAAAAATTAGCTGGGTGTGGTGGCACATGCCTGTAGTCCAGCAGCTCAGGACGCTGAGGCAGAATCGTCTGAACCTGGGAGGCACAGGTTGCAGTGAGACAAGATTGCACCACTGCACTACAGCCTCATGACAGAGTCAGACTCTGTCTCAAAAAAAAAGTAATAGTAATAAATAAAAATGATAAAATCACAACATTAAAAAAAAAAAAAAATTAGCCAGGCATTGGTGTGCACCTGTAGTCTCAGCTACTCAGGAGCCTGAGGTGAGAGAACTGCTTGGGCCAGGGAAGGAGAGGTTGCAGTGAGCTGAGATGGCACCACTGCACTCTTATCTGGGTGACAAGAGCCAGGCCTTGTCTAAAAAGAAAAAGGTAACCTCAGCAGATTCTATGGCAAACAGGACGCAGAGGCTTCTTTGATGCCCGCCCCCTCCCCACACCAGATGAGGGAACTGCAGCGCCCTGTGTTCCACAAGCCAAGGCTGAACGCAGCCGCACCTCACGCAGTCATGCAGCAGGTCCTGGCAGATGATGCATGTCAGCGTCTCCTCCATCTTGTCTGGCTTCCCAGCCGCGGCTCTGACATTGTCGTGGACAGTTTGGGTGTTTCTACACGGTTGTGCAAACAACACCTCTAGGTTCAGGTCGAGGTCCCCGTCTGCAAGAGAACGGGATGGTTCTGACTGTCGTAACCAAGGAGGGAACACATGCAGTACTTTCAGTTTACAAACACCTTCACCTGCAGACACAGAAAGTCTCCAGGCCTCAGTTGTCCAGAACCAGAAGCAGAAAACACACAGGCATTGCCTTATATTTGTGTTTCTAACTGCTATTTTTCACCAGGCATCATGGCTCACACCTGTAATCCCAGCACTTTGGGAGGCTGAGGCCGGCAGATCAACTTGAGGTCAGGAGTTTTGACACCAGCCTGGCCGACATGGCAAAATCCTGTCTCTACCAAAAATACAGAAGTTAGCTGGAAATAACTTGAAGCTGGGAGGTGGAGGTTGCAGTTAGCTGAGATTGTGCCATTGCACTCCAGCCTGGACAACAGAGTAAGACTCTGTCTCCAAAATAATAATAATAAAAATAAATAAATAAATAGGGTATTTTTAAGAAGGCCCAAAATAAATCTCCTATTCCAGTAGGTTTAAGTTTTGTGTTAGAGGAATGGTTAATAACATTAACAAAGAAATTCAGGATGTGAGTTAAGAGTTGAAGGCTAGCCAGGCGTAGTGGCTCATGCCTGTAATCCAAGCACTTTGGAGGCCAAGGCGGGCGGATCACCTGAGGTCGGGAGTTCAAGACCAGCCTGACCAACATGGTGAAACCCCGTCTTTAAAAAAATAAATAAGTAAATAAAAAGAGTTGAAGGCCAGCTGTCAGTGTGTATGATGTCATTTTCTTTAAACACAAACTGTAACTCATGTACACAGAGGAAAGTGCTAAAAGAAGAGACTGAAGATGTCACCAGGTCAAAATTTTTTTCTTCTAATTTTATTTTTCTATAATGCTCAGATGTTGGTAATCATTAATTTTTATTTTTAAAGAAACTGCACAGAATTTAAAAAGGCAAATATTTAGAAGAAGCCAGGCACAGAGGCTTATGCCTGTAATTCCAACACTTTCGGAATTTGAAGCGGGCAGATCGCTTGAGGCCAGGAGTTCAAGACCAGCCTGGGCAATATAGTGAAATCTCATCTCTACAAAAAATACCAAAAAAAAAAAAAAAAAAAAAAATTGGCCGGGTATGGTAGTGCTTACCTGTGGTCCCACCTACTGGGGAGTCTGCGGTGGGAAGATTGTCTGAGCCCAGGAGGCAGAGGTTGCAGTGGGCCGAGACTGCACCACTGCACTCTAGCCTGAAGGACAAAGCAAGATCCTGTCTCTTTAAAAAAAAATGTACACATATTCAGAAGAAAAAAAAGGGAGTCACCCTCTGCCTCAGCCTCTCCTCACCCAATTTCCCTCATCTGAGGAAGACTACTTTCATGTCTTTGAGCTGTTTCTTCAACACACCCCAAAAGGAACAATCCACGCCTGCGGCCACAGCGCCTCATCATGCAACCGACCTCCCTTCGAGGTTAACCGCAGTGCTTACTAGGAAGAGATGTTCCAGTTCGTCTTAAAAACCCACCAGCCGCTCAAAGGGACTCTTGGGAATATAAACAGGACCCCTGGGATTCTGGCTGCCACGAGAATCACAGGCTTACCTCTGTGTTTCTAAGTTATAATGACACATATTAATTTATCAATTTTAGACATCATCCCTGACATCTATTAAAGTAGGGCAAAACTCTGACCTGAGACTCCCCTGCCAACATTAGTGTAATACAACTGTTAGTTCATTACGTTATATTTACATTACTATGCTTATGTAAGTATTCACTGCTGAGCCAAGGAACGTGCTAGATTAAGTTGTGTGACTTACAGTTTTTCATGTTTGCTAGAATTAAAATTTCCTCACTCCTGTGCTTATTTTTCCTATGTAACTGTTGCTGATTCTTTCCACGCCTTCCCCATGCCAATCAACTCAACCTGTCAGAGAACCGGCTTTCCTTCCCTGGGGATCCTCCGGGAGCCTTTCTGCCAGTGCCCTGGCCTGCGGGCTGCTCTCGGACTGTGCACAGCCAGCCTTCTACGACAATATTCCCAAACCTCTTCTAATATTCTTCTTAACTCTGGCTTTCAAAGTGCAGACTTCTCTCTAAATCATCTTCAATGTGAAGATTTAAGTTACCTTTTTAGAAATTATTGTCCTACCAGGACAGAGGGCTTTCTATTTTTATTTTTTTTTTTTTTTTTTTTTTGAGACGGAGTTTCACTCTGTTGCCCAGGCTGGAGTGCAGTGGCAAGATCTCAGCTCACTGCAACCTCGCCTCCTGGGTACAAGCAATTCTCCTGCCTCAGCTCCTGACTAGCTGGGATTACAGGTACCCGCCATCACGCCCAGCTAATTTTTGCATTTTTAGTAGAGACAGCGTTTCACCGTGTTGGCCAGGCTAGTCTCAAACTCCTGACCTCAGGCGATTCACCCACCTTGGCCTCCCAAAGTGCTGGAATTAACAGGTGTAAGCCACTGCACCCAGCTTGATTTTTACTTTTAGAGACCAAGTCTTGCTCTGTTGCCCAGGCTGGTCTCGAACACCTGGCCTCAAGTGATTCTCCTGCCTTGGCCTCCCAGTGTTAGGATTACAGGTATGAGCTACTGTACCTGGCCAGGATGGAGGACTTTCAGATTAGTTCTTCAATTCAGAATGGACTATTTCCAGACCAAGAAAATAGTCTGTAGTAAACCACAGTTTTATGGGGATTATGCAAACAGCAAAAAACAGGACCAGATTTTCATTCAGAAAATGTCAGAGGTGTTACAGGCATCAGCCTGAGGAAGGGTCCACATACCCCTGCAGGAAGTAAGGCTTCACAGCACAGAGCATGGCAGAGGCCCCTGAATGCCCCAGGAGCTCACGAGAGAGCAAAGGACCCACAGAACCAGGCTCTGACCTCCTCTCATTTTCTTTCTCACGGGCTCCAAATCCTCCTGATCCTGGGGCTCCAATGAAGACGATGACACAGCCTTCCTGTCTGGGAGAGCTGAGGCAAAGCTGGAGATTTCATCACTTGCCACGGAGGGACCACCTCCTTTAGGGAAGTTGCCAGCACCCTCAGACCCTGTGAGAGGAATCAAACAAGACAGGTGCTGACTTGTCTACCTCAGGAGAGAACCACACCTGTAAGGTGTCACTGACTGAAACCCAGTGCAGCTGGCAACCTGAGATGTCATAGTTTACAAATGACAAATGGCTTACCAGGAGTGTGTGCTCACTCAACTAACATCTTAACTGTATCTGTGCCCATCTCTGTGTGTGGTGGAGCTGGGGGCAAGCAGTACACTGGCAGAGGAACAAATGCAGAGATCTGTGACCAGGCTCAGCCCTTGAGCGCTGAGTCCTAACGGAGGGCAAATCCACACACCGGTGGCCAGATGATGCACACCGTATCGTAAACAGTGTTAAGATAGAGATCTGGGGGCCAGGCGTGGTGGCTCAC